TTGTTTAGTCCCATTCAACTCTCCAGCCTCATTCCTTTAAGGTTCCTCTCATGAACATCCTCCAGTTACCCTAGCCAAGGTCTTCTCTATTTGTTTCTCTTTGCCCAGATAAAGGCAAGAAATTGTTGTGTCAAATCCTCACAGCAAAAATCAAAGATGCCAGATAAATAATGGTGCTTTAGAAAGTCTTCAGATCCTTATAAAGGATGAAGCATTGATTAGTGTAGAAAGAAGGAAGGAAAAGAAGGAAAGGAGGGAGGGAGGGAGGATGGGAGGACAGGTGTCACATAGGCACTGAGCAAAATGACACACTTTTCCTTTATCCTACAAATGAACCTAGTACAGTACTTGCCCAGTACTACTGGACAAAGGAGCCCAAGACCCAAAATCACAGGTCGTGATTCTATGATGTCACTTCCCCTTCTGGGTCCTTAAGATCCTTAATTTTGACATAAGGTTGAACTAGCTGTTCTCCAAAATTCTGAATCCTCTCCTATCTCTTCAGTTAGTTGTGTTCCTTCTGCAAGAATTATTATTCCCACTTGGTAGACACAGAAAATAAGACATCAGTAAGGTAAATGGGATAAGCCATCCATGGGGGCAGTGAAAGGGCAGGAACGCAAGTACATTTCTGAGCAGGAGGCCGCCTTTGAGCTCCCAGGATTCAATGCTTTATTTTTTTTATTCCCAGTAACAAAATTTTCACCTTGAGGGCAGAAATAAAATGAAGTTAGAGCTCTTCATAATTAAATTTCCTGCAGAAACTCAGAATATAAATCAGCAGCTAACTGGATGCGCTTTAAGTTGCTCACCGTTGCAGGTCCTTTTGTCTTTGTCAAGAAAATTAAAGAAATGCTTGTCCGCATTTCTATAAAATCAGGAAAACAACAGACTGGACATCTGCGAATGATAAATTGAGCTGTGGTTAAGCCAAGTTGTATTAATTATCCTGAATTACAGCAAAGAATGATGCTAATGCTTCTCCTCTTCCCACTCAGCTGACAAGAGCATCCATCAGACAGACGCCTGCTCTGGCTTCTGCTTCCCCAATAAAACGCATCAAATCTTGCCTGCCCTTTTTTGTGCTGCCTTCATGTGCTGGCTAAAAGAGACCCCTCTCTTCTGGTCACCCCATTCCCTGTGTTAACCACCTTCCACTGTTTTTGAGAAAATGATAAATGGAAATGTTTCTAGTGCAATTACATGGTTTCCCTAATTCTTATTTTGTTCTGATACTCAAAACATCTAGTAGAAGAGGGCATAGACAGAAACAGCAAGGCGTGGGCCTTACCCACTGAAAACATCTTCACTTTGCTTCGCTTTGTCAATAATTCTTCCTGAAAACACAACGTGAAATTTGCCTTTGAGTATCGTATCCCCAGCTTCCTTGCTTACTAGCTGTGTATGTGTGAAAGTCCCTTAATGTCTCCATAGCTTGGCTTCTTTGCCTGTGAGTGGGTTGTTGTGAGGTCTGAAGATTGCAGACCTGGAAAGCATTGAAACCAGCACAAAGTACGTGGTGAGCACTATCATTAATTAGTGTCATTCCTATCGTGATTTCTCCGAGCCGGAGGTTGATGTTATCTCCTGGATTATATAAAAGCCTGTCCTTGCCAGAGTCTCCTGCACTTTCTAATGTCCTAGTACAAAGGACATGAAGGAACAAACCACTGGTACAATTCGAGTTTTCAACAGAATAATTGTGCCGAGAGCTGCTTCCTGGCAGGGAGCTGCAGTTGTTTGAGGCCTGGAGCTTCTCTCAGATCCATGGGTTCCACACTAACATTTTGCCCACTTCGTGGGGAAAGAATCGATCTCTTCCTAAGAATTTTTCTCTTCCAAAGAATAATTAGCTGATAAACTGCAAGCTTTCTCAAGATACTTTTATTCCTATCAGGTGGACCATTTAACCTGTCAGTCTCACCCCTGTCTGACTGCATGGATCAGCTGTGTGTTTTCTCTGAGAAGTCAGGACGACCCTTGGGGAAGGCCATGTCATGTGGCTGGCTCTCGAGGCTGGGCAGGGTTGGGCAGCCGGCCACCAGCCAGACAGCAGATCGGGGCCACACAGGTTGTCTTAGCACTGAGACAACAGTAAGAATGTTTCTACTCGCCAGACTTTTCACTTTTTCCCTTGTGATAGTCTACATGTGGAAACTCCTCAGAAGCCCAGATCTCTTATTTTTCACACTATCAGCATTTTAAGAAGGTTTGCTCCCAAACCTGTTCAGAATCTTTGCTCTGGGTGAAAACTCTAGAAAACAAAAGCCAGGTCCATTCCTCCATCTTCAACAGCAGCCTGAATCAAAAACGTATAACCGGTAGTGTGCCTGACGCGTTTGGGGCTGAGAGGGAGATACTCGGAGGGAGTTTGGTTCTCCTTACCTCTCTAAGGGCCGGGCTTGGCTTCTTTGCGTTCCGATTCCAAGCTGTGAGTTAGCCATGGAGCAGAATGCTGTCATCCACTGCAGACAAAATCTCACAAGTGAGTCGCTTAGATTACTCAGCCGGGGAAAGGGAACACTCAGTCTTTCTTCAGAATACAGTTATTAGAAATATTAGTAGCTGGAGAAAAACCTAGAGAGAAGGCTCAGAAAAAGAGGGTCTGCTTGTGCCTTGATAATGACAAATGGTGTGTGCAGAGCATCGTGGGGACTAAGCATGTTCATAACTACGCCTCCCTCCAGCTGATTATGCCTGGAAGGACAAGCAGCACTCATAATCATAGTGTCATTAAATAAACACTTTTATTTTATACTTCCGGTTTTTCCATTAGTTTTTTTTGTTTTGTTTTGTTTTGGTTTTTTGGTACCAGGGATTGAACTCGGGACCTTGCACTTTCAAGGCAGGCTGTGGAACCACTGAGCTAAATCCCTGGCCCAAATTTTTTTTTTTTTTTGGTATCAGGGATTGAACTCAGGACCTTGCACTTTCAAGGCAGGCAGTGGAACTACTGAGCTAAATCCCTGGCCCAAATTTTTTTTTTTTTTGGTACCAGGGATCGAACTCGGATCCTTGTCCTTGCAAGGCAGGCAGCGGAACCACTGAGTGAAATCCCCAGCCCTCCATTAGTTTTTAAAGATTCAGGTCACTGGATTTCTAGATTAAAGTATGCCATAGTAAATGTCCAAAATGAGCTCTACAGTGGAAGTGGAGACCAGAGGACAAAACAATGCTTAAAACAGTTCAAGAAACTGTTCAGATTTAGGGTCTCCTAGGAAAAGCCTCATCCCAAAGCACAGTTCTTTATTCCTGTCCATAGATGTCATTATTGCCTTTACTCAATTATCCCCCTAAAGTATCGCTTGTTTGTTGCCTAGGCAACTTCTTGATGTATTTGGAATAGTACTGAGTACTTAGTCTCTCTGTCTGAAAAGCAGCTAAGGATAGAGTTAAGTCCATAAATTGAGCGTCGGTGACTATGTGTTGTTACACTGTGACACTGGAATAGAATGAAGTGTTGTCATTGCCCTCCCACTGAAGGACAGGAAGACTGGAAAACTAAACACCTGCTGGTTGGGACAAGGGAGAAGTAACACCATGGCAAGGTGTGGGGTATCTCGGGAAGCTGGTTTAGGACATGTTACGGGATCCAGGCTTTTGTTAGATATTGAGGGGAGGGTTTAAGGATTAGGGCTCTGTTCTAAACTGGACACTGTTCGGAAGCAGGGACAATTCTATGACTGGGTATCTTAATCAATTCATTTGTAGTGGGGTAAGAATGAAGTGCAGCTGAGCTGCAGTTAGTAAAGAAGCAGTCGTGCCTGTGAGTCAGGCCTGAGATGTCTGGCCATTAAGGTAGCTTGAGTAGCACTTGTTTTGTGTGTGTCCAGTCATGGTTACCACGTGGTCTTGTTTCTGTCTCAAGCCATCATGGAGGGTCGGAGAGTGAGCCTGTGTGATGTCAGCGTTCTGTGGAATGATCAAACAGGAAGTTCAGACCGAGCTGTGTGTGGCATGCCAGATCCTGGAAGCACAAGACACAATTAAGAGTTAGGTTCCAGCTACCGGGTGTCAGGAGCCGCTTCTTGCTTCTTCGGTGGAGAAAAGCTGAGGAGATTGTCCAAAGTCATGCAGCTGAGGACTTGGCAAGCCGTTATGATAATGCAACTCTAAATGGTCCCCAAACCCAGTCACTTGGTGATTCAGCCTCATGAAATGGGAGCCAAATGAAACCCATGCATTTATGTTTATGGGTACTTTTGACTGGGAATGAGAAAAGCTACATTCAATCTTTCTGTACCACAGAAACTTGTACTTGTATTTTTACTTATCTATGTGAGTTTTACTTCCCTCATGTGTGCACTGAGGGAAGTGTACGGAATCATCTCTTAATCTGTTCTATTGGTCTTTTACCCTTGAGGTGTGTGCAATGTTAGTAAGAATAATAATTGCCATGTTTTTGTGATAGGCACTGTTCTAAGCCCCACATGATAGGCACTGTTCTAAGCCTTTTATGTATATTAACCATCTTAAGTCTCAAAATAACTGTATGGAATAAATGCTTTTATCTTCAGTTTATAGAAAAAGCCACTGAGGTTCAGAGATTAAATAGGTTGTCCAAAGTTGCATGGCTGGAAATTTGTCAAGCTGGAGCCTAATTCCAGGCAGTGTGACCAGAAGCCATGACTGTAACCATTCTGTTATGCTGCAATTAATGGTCAACCTTTGTCTTGCTGCATGATTTAAGGATCCATACAAAAAAACACTGGTGCTAAAGAAACAAATCTGAAGAACCAATGTGAAAAAATTTAGATGAATACATCTACATGGGGAGCTAATCTGTAAGAACCTAATACAAAAAGCAAGCAAAACTTCTACTTAAAAATTTTAACATATCACTTCTGTATACCATAATGTGATTATAGCTGCGTACTTCAGTGTAATAACAAATGCAAGAAAAAAAGATGTCACTAGTACTGCTTTCTTATGCATTTTTTTTCTGAAATTAACGCCCTCAGATGCACATGACATTGATGCTTTCAATTTTAATTTCACAGATGAAAGAGCTTGGCGTCATCTTCTACAACTGCAGCTGCCTGGTCCTAGATTTACAAAGGATATTTGCTTTATACAGTTCATTAAAATTCAAGAGCAGAGTACCTCAGACCTGGTCCAAGAGACTCTATGGAGTCTATGACAATGAAAAGAAATTGCAACTTCAGTTGAACGAAACCAAATCTCAAGCATTTGTGTCGGTGAGTGCCTGCCTCTTCCTCCTACCCTCCCTGCCGTTGCAGTGTTTCAGTGTGTGCTTGTGCTGAGCAAAACAGAATTAGATAGATTGATCCTACCCCATCCCCAGAAGAGTTAAAATGTGTCCTCTCTTGTGCTCACCTGTGTGCTGTCCCCAGCGATAACCTGGTTTGATCCCCACAATCACCTTGCAAGGCGTGCAGGGGATTGCAGCCGTTCTACAAATGAAGATACCGAAACTTTTCTACTAATACAAAGTCCATAGCATAGGAAGTGCAAAGAAAGTCACCACTGTCCAGGTCTTTTGACACCAGTGATGATTCGCCCATCTTCTGTGCCCTATATCGATGATTTCCAGGTGTTTCTAGCAGTGCATTTCTTTGATGAGACATGTCTGGGGGAATCCGAGTATAGGAAACAGGCCTCTGCAAAACTACTCTATCTGTGCGGGGCCCTCAGGCAAAGGTCCTCCACCAGACAAGGCTCCCCGCACTGAGCTCCCCAGCCTCTGACTCCACTGAAATCCAGCAACCCCTGCCCGCCCTCATTTCCTGGTCCCCACACCCCGGGCTTCTCGCAGGTACTGGGAAGAGGCAGCCCCAGCCTTCAAACTTCAGTACCAGAACACCAGCTGGGGAGTCTGTTCAGATGCAGATTCACAATCCTCCCTCCCAGCCATCCCGCCTGGGATTTGATCTGCTGCATCAGGGGTGAGACCTGAGGAGTCTGACCGGAATGGAATTAAACTTCTAGATTGACCTGGGTCTCAGAGAAACTTCTCTAAACTATGCTCCTACCTTACTATTGCTATTTCTCTTTTGGTTGGTATCAGTGCTCTTGGGCCAACAACTTTTCTGTCGCTAAAGAGCATCATAGCAAAGAATGAATTGTATGCGTCTCTTTTTTGCCTGTTCACAGGAAAGCACAATCTGAACATTTAGCAGTACTAGAGGTAGAAAAGCAAGTTGAAGTTGTTTGTCTTAAATAACAAATTCACATCAATGTGAAAGCACAAAGTGGACTATGAAGGATTTTCATCAAATAGAACTTTGAGAAGTCTTTTTTTAATATAAATTTTTAAAGTGTGGCCAAGAATGCAGTAGCAAGTAGCACATTGCAGTGGCCTTTTATTAACAAAAATTATGTCATACATACATTTTCATTGCATCACGAGACAATCTGTAATACCAGAAGCCCAATAGTATTTCCGGTTTGTATATGAGCAGCAATAGAAAACGGAGTAACGTGATGTCCCAAGCAAGGGGTATAGCAGAGGAGCCCAGAAGCAGCAAGAAGCAGATGAATTGGAGCTGAGGATATAGATCAGTGACAGTGATTGCCTAGGGTGTGCAAGGCCCTGGGCCTCATCCCAGTGCCACAAAAATGAGAAGGGAGAAGGGAAGAAGGGGAAGGAGAAAAGGAGGAAGAGGAAGAAGGAAGGAAGCTGGGAGGGAGGAAGGGAGGAAAGGAGGGAAGGTATTAATGAGCAAAGTTTGGATAATCACTGGATTTTGAATTTAAGGTTTTAATCTTAGAAGTAAATGAATGAGGTTGTTGCATAATTTTAAATTCTGACACTTAAAAAAATCAGCATATCTACCACCAAGAGAGGTCTCAGGCCTTTGGTAAAATCCACTAAACTGTATGGTCTTTGCTGTATTCTAGGGCAATTTCAAACTTGCTTTTTATCAAGGAGATAACTACAAAATGTGTTGCAAAACATTTATTCAGTATTCTCTTATACTGTGTGATGCTTTTGTTTTCTTTTTATTTATTTTAATTTATTATTTTATTTTCTATTTCTTGTGAATAATAGTAAGCCTGCCTTTAAATTTCAATGCAACAGATATTAATTGAAAACCATTTTTGAAAAGTTGTAAAATCCTAAATAAAAGTCAGAAAACTCTTGCTACTGGAATTGAGCTCCTTGCTCTACCTCTATTCTCACATTTCTCACATTTTTTATAACTATTTGTTCATAATCATCTTTCTGACTATTCTCTAAGGCTCTGACGATCGTATACCATGTTCTTTTCATCGCTGGTATGCCCAGCACCTCATTCACTCAGTCTCTCTAACAGCAGCCATAAATGTTGGGCTGAATTTATTGGCAGTAATATTAATGGAAAGTTCCAAGATGCAGATCATTTTTTTTCAGTAATATAAGCCAAACAAATACCAAGACAAATTTATTTAAATTTAATATATTTGTTGTATATCATCATGAAATAGTATTTTTTATAAGCTGAGAGTCTGAAGACAAAGTTAAACACAAAAAGAACATTTGGAAAACACACAAAAAAATTTGAAAACCTTAAAAATAACAAGTTCCAAAATTAATTTTAGATCATTGAGAATACCATAGCTCAATATAAAGTTCAAGCTATGGTATAAATATAGATTATTTCTCATTTTCTCATAGACCACAAATAGGTACTTGGATAGATTTAACTATGTGATAGCAACTTGGAGTCAGATAGTTCTAATGTTTTTGCATTTTCCATTGAAAGTGAAGATAAGAATGATAGTTTTTGTAATGTAAATTTCTTTTCAGAGCCCTTAAGAGTATGCCCTTGAAAAAACATGTGTCATGCCTTGCTTTCAGGAACAAAGACTAGTAGTTCAAGGTCTATTTTTATTGATGTGGGTGCTAGACAGGTTCCATTCTCGTTGTTTATTATTCAGTTAATTCACTCATCAGTCGTGTACACTGCGGTATATTTAGTGAGGGAGTAGACATCCCGCAGAGCTTGGAACTGCTGTGGAAGAAGACACCACATTACATTCCTCTTTAGGACTTCCAGTGTGTGTTATTAATTACATTTTCAACACCTCTATTGACACATAATTTATTCATCATAAAATGAACCCTATTTGAAACTATCAACTTCAGTGGGTCTGAGTGTAGTCACAGAGCTTTTCAGTCACCTCCACCATCTAACTGCAGGATATTTTCTTCACCACCAAGAAGACCTCCAGCGTCTCTCACCATCACTGCCCATTCTCCCTTCCCCTGCCCCTGACAGCCACTAATTCACTTCCTCAGTGTGGCTTTGCCTTTTCTGGACATTTCATCTATGTGAAATAATAGAATATGTAATCTTGTGACTGGCTTCTTTCATGTAATGCTTTCGAAGTTCATCCAGGTTGTACCATGTGTCACTGCTTCCTGCATTTCTTTCTCTCCCGTGAGTGTGTGTGTGTGTGTAACTACAGAAATAGTGATTGAACCCAGGGCCTGGTGCTTGCAAATACTCTACCAATGACCTACATCTAAGTCCCTTGTTATTTCTTTATTTTGAGACAGGGTCTTCACTAAGTTGCCCACATTGGCCTCCAATTTGTGATCCTCCTGCCTCAGCCTCCAGAGTAGCTGGAATTACAGATGTGTCACCATCCTCAGCTCTTCCTTCATTTCTTTTTATGGCGCAGTAGTATTCCCCATGTACAGATATGCCACATGTCGTCTATGTGCCTGCCAGTTGGGGCTATCTGGATGTTTCTACCTTCTGACTATGTGAATGTTGTCACTAAGAACATTCATGCACATGTTTTTATTTGAACACTATTTTCATTTCTTTTGGGTTTGTACTTAGGAGAATTACTGATACTATTGTACTCCACGCTGGAAGTTTTGGGAAACTATCAAGCTGCTTTCCAAATTGGCCACACCATTTTAAAATCCCACCAGCAGTATTTGAAAGCTTTATTTTCTCCACATCCTTGCCAACGCTTGTTATGTTCCACTTTATTTTAGCCCTGCTAGTGAGTATAAAATGAATTTCATTGTAGTCTTAATTTGCTTGTTTTAATGTACTCACTGGCCATTTGTATGTCTTCTTTGGAGAAATATCTATCAAGTACTTTGCCTGATTTTAAATTAGGGTTTTCAAGCGGCACAGTTCTTAATAGCTAAAACTTAGAAACAGCCCAAGTGCCCATCAACTGGAAACTGGATAAAGAAAATGTGGGTTTTTTATAAAATGGAGTACTACTCAGCCATAAAGAACAAGAAACTAGAGACATTTATAGCTAAATGGATGCATATTCAGACCATACTCTTAAGTGAAATAAATAGGACACATGTGTAAATACTGAATAGTTTCTCTAGTGTGAGAAACTGAAAGTGTAAATAAGGATTAAAACAAATAATGGATAATTTGAAATAGGAAGAAAAGGTCCAAAGGGGTAGGAGAAGTGGGAGGAGAAGGGGAAAGGAAAGAAGGGAAAGGAAAAATTATGAGAAAAGAAAAAAATGGAAATGAAATCTACACAAATAGGGAAGGGTGGAGGGGGTGAAGGGCACACAGGGAATGGGGAAAAAATAAGAACCAAGATACATCATGTACAGGTACAAGCACCCAATGATA